CATACGTGTGTACACTATGTCTCTTTTCCTCCTCCCCCGTGGTTAGTGCTCTACATCAGTCCACCCTCCTCCTAATTCTCACCAAAGCTACCACAACAGCATCCCAACTGATCTCCCCACCTCACACCTTGATCTGGTCTTCCTATGGGCATCTAGTGTGATCCCTTTATAATGTGTGACAAATACACCGAGCGCCCTCCTCGGAACCAGACACTCCTCCCGACACAGTCGGGCACCGTGAGCAAAGCAGATGAAGCTCCCATTCTCAGGAAGTTCACGGTGCGGTGAGGAAAGTGAGGCAGGAAACCAACGCGTGAGGTAATTGGTGGTGGCGAGTGAAAATTTAAAATATGGATAAACCGGGGTGAGGGGGTAGCGTGGCAAGAGGCTATTTCAGTTAGACTGCTGGGGAGGGAGGCCGCTGCAGAAAAGAGACGTTTGAGCCAAGATTTGAAGAAAGGGAGGGAGGGAGTGTCATGAACGTCTAAAAAAGAGCATCTTGGGCTGAGGGGAATGGAGAGCATCAAGCCTCGAGGAGGGATTTTCCAGCTTCTTGGTGGGTTGGAAAGGAAGACCTTTGGGGCCAGGGAGGCGATACGTGATGATTTGACACACAACACTCAGGCCCTGATCACTAGGCACTCCAGATGTCACTCCCAGGGAGATGGAAAGCAGGCAGTGGAGAGCTTGTCTCGCGTGCACAGAGTCCCGGGCTCGATCCCCAAAAGTACGTAGACTCTGTTATGGTGGTGTGTGCCCGTGACCCCAGCACCTAGGAGAAAGAGGCCAGAGGATCGCAAGTTCAAGGTCATTCTCTGCTACTTAGTGAGTCTGAGGCCAGCTTGATTTGAGACCCTGTCTGGGAAGGGGGTCGGGGGAGACCGGGACAAAAGAAGGGAGAGAGTGAAAAAATGTGTATGGCCTTATCTTGTTCCAGCTCCTGAACCCATGGAGCAAGCAAGGGTGGGGGTAGGAGACCTGCTGGGCATTTCTTTTTTATAAATGCTTATTGATTATGTACTTATTTATTTATTCACTTGTGTGCACGGTGTGCATGTAGAGGTCGGAGGACCTAAGGGAGGCAGGTCTTTCCTCCCACCATGTAGGTCCTGGGGGTTGAACTCATCAGGCTTGGTGGCAAGTGTCTTTACCCACTGAGCCATCCCACCAGCCAGTTGGATACTTCTTGTCCTGTAACACCTTTTCCCTCAGTTGCTCACACACCAAATGCTTGCTCCCCTCTTAAGCTTTAGCTCAAGCACCCCACCTTCTTTGGGTCCTTGCCAAACTCTTCCCTCCCACTCCAGAGCTGACCTAACTTCCTCCTCAGGTTCGTGAGCACTGTGCTCATGTGCCTCCAATTTCCTCCTTAGACTGCAGGTCACTTGAAGTTGCGGATCAGCTTGAGTGTCAAGTAGAGTCTGTGGGATAGTGTCAGCGCAACACAGGCATTGGCAGAGTGACTGCATGCCCCGGGGGAGGCACGTGGGACGGAACAAGGACCGTTGGGAAGCTAACGCCAGCCTTGGCTGAGCCAGGAATGGAGGCTCATACCTGTGATCTCGACACGCAGTAGGCTGAGACAGGAAGATTGCTGTGACTCTGAGGCCATCGTGGGCTTCATACTGAGTTCTGTGCCACCCTGAACTACAGAGTGAGACTCTGTCTCAAAACACAAAAAACAAGTGAGTGATATGCAGGAGTTTATGGCTGCAAGTTGGTATCAGGCCACTGCTACCATATACTGGGATAGTTCATATACACTGTTCACATATGTGTGCATATTAACATTTATGGGCATGTCTGCCTGTATATACCTATAGATTCGTTGTCAGATGTTGCTCAAATTTCTAAATGTCTTATAATAAAAAATCCCGGTGCCAGATACTGGGGTAACTGCTGAAAGATCAGAGAGACAAAGGAACAAGCCACAGCCACCTCTTACTTCTAGGGCTCCTCAGCCTGAAAAGCCTCTGGTTCCTGTCTCCTCACGCCTTATATACCTTTCTCTGCCCAGCCATCACTTCCTGGGATTAAAGGCATGTGTGTTTCCCAAGCAAAGGTATGAGATCTCAAGTGCTGGGATTAAAGGCGTGAGATTCCCAAGTACTAGGATTAAAGGTGCATGCCACTACTGCCTGGCTCTGTTTCTCTCCTAGACTGAGTCAACCTCATGTAGTCCAGGGTGGCTTCGAACTCACAGAGATCCAGACAGATCTCTGCCTCCCAAGTTCTAGGATTAAAGGTGTGTGCCACCACTGCCTGGCCTCTGTGTTCAATCTAGTGGCTTGTTCTGTCCTGTGACCTTCAGGCAAGCTTTATTATGGTACACAATATATCACCACAGTTATATGCATATGAGGAAGCACACTTATGTTAAATGTGCATACAGTACCATAGATAAGCAATACACACATTGCCACATGACCCATATGGGCACACATACGTACACACATATATACAAACACATACTGGGTCTCCTTAATATCCCCTGCCTGCTTCCTCGTTCACACCCAACTTGTTCTTAATTCATGAAACCTCTGGAGTAGTGTTGATGTTTCTCCTCTCACACTTCCCCACGTACACTCCTAAACATCAAGCATATGGTCAACATCAGGATCAGATCTCTTTCACAGCTGTCTTCAAGATTTCCCTCTGCAAACTGCCTCCATATGAACGGTTATAGGAACTAGATGGCTTCCTAGGTTGTGAGAGACCTGCTTTCTGGAGAAGAGCCACAGACATCAGAGTGGACCAAGTTCAAGCTAGTGGGAAAATAACTTTTGGACAGAGCCAATGTTGAGTCAAATTCAATATCTATATCCCTCTCTATGAATCAACTTTATGCGCATTTATTCATATGATCCTAAATCATTAAGTACATTTACATGCACATACACATTTGGGGGGGGCAGTTGAGACAGGGTTTCTCTGTGTAGTTTTTTGGTACCTGTCCTGGATCTCGCTCTGTAGACCAGACTGGCCTCGAACTCACAGAGATCCTCCTGGCTCTGCCTCCCGAGTGCTGGGATTAAAGGCATGTGCTACCACCACCCAGTGCATATATACATTTATACTTAAGTATACATACAGCTCACATCCATGTTAAACATACACACGGTCACAAATCTGTATCCATGGGTGAGCATATCACACACCCACCTGCTAGTTTAGCTGCCTTCACAGTCACATATATAAATGGATGTATACAAAGTCATACATACACTCACGTATTAAGTGCTCACATGCATATACACCAATGTGTATCTATGCCATCACAGACCCACTCATAGGATAGGCAGATCCTCCACAGGCTTCTACCCTATCCACAGAGAAACCCATCATCCTAGTAACATCACAAACTTACATGTGCAACTTGCAAGCCTCTCATCTTTCCATTGGCCAAGTAGTTCCTGTTAGCCACATGGTACACCCCGCTCCTGATCACATCCCACTCCCACCTCACTCGGGAAAAGGCATTTTAGAGAAAGGCTCTGAAATTCCCTAGTCCTGTGCCTAGAAAAAAAAAAAACAGTATCTGCTCAGACAAGTTGGGTGAGGATAAAGTTGATATAACAACTCTGCCCATCCAAGAGGCAGCCGACCACCACATATATACCCCCCCTTAATTGTAGGAGAAGTGAAAAGATGATCCCTCCTAGCACTTCTGGGGATGTTCCTCTACTCCCAAACATATTGAAGATATTGAAAGCAGAGAAGGAACAATAAATGAACTAGTTTGTATCCTGAAGACTCCTGGGACAGGCCTCTTCTTCCCTACAGGACAACTCCACGATGTCCAATTCCCCAAGGCAGCCTGAGGGCCTTGACAAGGAAGAGGGTAACCAGGAAGCTCAGAAATGTGAAGGGGATGACCCGGGCCCAAAATAATAAAAGCAAGTATTTCACAACAGGAGCCACTCAGGGACAGGAAGGCAAGCTGCGGCAGCTCCTGGCAGAGAAGCAACTGCTAGAACACTGGATCATGAACAGCAGGACTCTCGAAGGGGCCAGGGAGAAGGGGGTGGACACTGAGCATTCCACGAGGGGGTGGAGGGGTGACTGCTTCAGGCAGTGGCAGCAGATCCAAAGTAAAGTCTTATCAAAGCTGTTATGTAACTAAGGGAGCCGAGTGGAGCACAAACACCTCCCCTCCCCAAACAGGCACCCACACCCACACCCACCACTCCCAGCACCCACAAGCATACGAAAACTCAGCTCCTCTCAAGCAGCTCAAGAAGGAGGAATCATCTTGATGGGTAACATCAAAAACATGATGGGTGAAGGGCCCCTGGTTAACCAGAAGTCCTATGCGGGGAAGGAGAGACTGGTTCTGTGTGAGACCTCTGGAATGCTCTCCCTTGTCCTGAACTTCCTGCCACACCCAATGTCTGCCCAGAGTCATCTGGAAGCCTTTCCCTGCCCCTCTCTGTCAGGATCCCATTTGAATATTTGATTGTGCTCTTGGGGATGGGAGGTGAGCTGCCATCAACCCCCCCCCCCTGCCTGTTGTTCCCCCACAGCCTCATCTGCATGTCCTGACATTTGGCTCTCATCCCCCTGGGATGACAAGGGAAGGGACCTGGAGAAATAACTCCCTGCTCTATTCCCTTAAAGCCAGATCCTGCACATGACCCTGAGCGCAGGTCACTAGGGGAAAGCTATCCAGAGGAGCCGAGGATTGAAACCCAGACCCCATCCTTTCATCGGAATACTTCTCACTCCCCCAGATCTTCCTTTTTCCCTGCTGCCCTGTCTCCAGTAGCCTCCTCCTTCTCTTCTCCATGGCACTGAACAACCCCACCCACTCCTTGAATCCTTTGCTGAGAAATCTTCCTCCCCAACAAAAGTCTCTCCCAAATGATGCTTCGAGCTAGGGCTGGGGATGGGCAGAGCACAAGCAGGCTTGCAGAATATTTTAGGGTTCCTGTTCTCAAATCTAAAGTTATGGTTAGCAGGTTGGCACCAAGTAGCCAATCAATGATCCCGACTCGATATCCTGAGGCCCATCCACTGAGGTCTACCCTGCCAGACTCAAACTCTTGACTGTCTTGAGTCTGAACTTCTGGGGCCCCAAAGGAGAAAGGCTTGTGCAGCGTCAATAAGCTTGTTGCACCATGATGATCTCAGGAGAAGAAAGCTCACGGCCACGACTGCATCGCCCCTTCCTAGCCCCACACTAACAGTACAATGGTTTTGGGAAGGGGGAGGTAAACTCAAATAGAGGAAAGAAAGTCCTTTTACCAAATGCCACTAACAACTGTGAGGCCTAAATTCCTAAGAATAACCTCAGAATATATATTTCTGTCCAGGGACTCTGCCCTTGGAAAATGGGTCACCTGGGAGAATTTTTCTAGTGAACCCTCAGCACTGCCCAGGGACCTCTCCGTCAGTGGCCCAAACCTTTTTCAGCACCCGGGACAGCTCCAAAGGAGCGCATCTCCGCCGAGTCTCATTCAGCACCGAGGACAGCTCCTACAGCCACTAGCTGGGTTTCCAGAAACCCAGAAACCCAGAAAGCAAGGGAGAAAGAAGCTTTACCCAACGAAACCCCTCACCATAAAGCTCCCACCCTTGCGCCTGTGCACTGGCACACCTGACAACCCCCCCCCTTCCCTGGAGGTTTAAAGAGAAGAGAAATTCAGACCTGGAGCTTCCCTCAAGAAGCCTAGAGAGAGGACCCCACCCACCTCCTTTCAGACCTGAGCACCAGTCACAGCTGGTTCCAGAAAGCACTTTCCTTCTTAACCACCACCCCAAAACAAAATAAATACTCACGTGGGGGCTCTCGGCCCTGTAGGCAGATGTGCTGGGAGGAGGCAGAGAGAGGTGGCTCCCCACACCCTGTTCTGAACCCCCTTTCTGCAGGAGCCAGCTCCCATCTGGACTGGGGGGAGGAGAGGTATGTGGAAGCACTGAGTGAGGGGAAGAAGCTGGAGCGGGGGACTGTGGGGCGGAGGTGTTGGGATGGGGGTGAGGGAATCCTTTTTAATTTCATTCTCTCCCCATGTCTACATCAGCCCTGCGGGCTCAGCTCTTTAATATTTACACACAGGAAGAGGAGAGGATGGAAAAGAAGAGGGAGTGGGGGGTGGCTACCTGAGCTCAAAGGGCACAGAGGCAGAAGCCTTCTAGAGCTGAGGGCTTGGGTCCCCCCCTACCACCCCCAGCCCACTCCCGTTCTGAGCTCTGGACTGGAAGGAAGAAGAAGAACCCTGGGACCATTCTGTCCCTTTGTTAAGAAGATACTTTGAAGCTGCATCAGAAAAAGATCAGATCCCCACCCACATACCTGGACACCCCCACAAACCCAGATTTCTTGGGTGCCTTATGTGCAGATGGGAGAAGCAGTATTCATACACAAGTGTGCTCTGACGCTTGGAACATGCTTGCCTGTGGGCTGCTATATATATGCACATGAACATGTCAGCTAGCATGTACAAGTTTACGCAAGCATGAGTCTAGTCACACATTAACCACCCAAGAAATCAAGCCTGAGCAAGCACATCTAGGACTCCTCTCCAAGCAGCCTCACCTCTTTCCCCACGGTTCCCCAGCCAGGGACTCTAGGAAAAGGCCACCCAACCTCAGACTCTCCTCTACCCAGGCCCCTCCTTCATAAGCCTCACTTTTTCTGTCTGTAACATGGGAAGAAAGGCTGCAGGGAACGGATGCTGCACTGAGCCCAGGGGCCCGACAAGTTATTAGCAACGATGAGCTGGCAGCTCGTTACCATAACGATGGTGCCACTGCCTCACCCCAGCTCAAACCCAGACTCCCCAGACGGCAGGAGGCCCCCGCTGAGCCAGCAGCCTTCAGACTGAAGGGGGGGGTGGATAAAGAGGGAATTGAGACATGATGCTTGCAGAGTGGAGGGTGCACAGATGTTCTTCCAACCCCCCACTGAGAAACAAAGCTTTTGACTCCCCCCAAGTGGGACTGAAATCAGAATCTGGGAAGGCTTCTTGACCACGGGGATGGGAAGGCACTGGGAAAGTCTTTGGAAGCTTGTCTCAAGTAAAGCTTCGTGGTTATACCCCTCCCCCCCTTCATTTCAGCCACCTAAAACCAAACCAAACAGAGAGCCCCTTGTTGAAAGGCAGTCCCCTCACCAGGAAAACGAGGGCAAATATGTTTACCATTTGGTCTGAACTCCTAGAAGCCTTGGTCAGAAAGGGTTCGGGTAGCTGTATATTTTTCTAAATCAGACAAAACTCAGAAGTTTCTCTACCCATCAGAAGCCCAATAAGGTTAACAAAAATAAAATAAAATAAAATAAAATAAAATAAAATAAAATAAAATAAAATAAAAGTCAGCCCAGCTAGAGGCCAAATGCATCAGAAACTGTGTGGGGTAAAGAAAAATGGGCCCAGCCTGCTGAGGCACCAACATCAGCTGGAAGAGATGTTATACGCCAAGCAGATGCTGAAAGCAGGCACTGAAAGAAGGAAGTCTGAAGTTGGGCCTAGAGCGGTGCCAGCCCCTAGCCAGGGGGAGCTAAGACAAGGCGATGGCCTTCCTCTCTGGCAGGTCTGCCAGGCATCCCCATCTCCAGGAATACCTGTAGGTTCCTCTGTTCTGAGAAGAGTCCCAGGTTGACGGATTGACAGCCTTAGACACATTGAGTCTTCCTTTCCTCTACCCACATCCACACTCAGCTCTTAAGGGGGTGGGGAGTTCCAGGATAGAATGTGAGGGTTAGGAAATTACCTGGGGGAACACTAGCCTAGGAATCCACAGGTTCACTGAGTGACCTTGAGTAGGTCTCCTCTCTTTCAGATTCCCCAATTTCTAATTAAGAGATTGGACCAAGTCAACTGTCAGGCTCTTCCTCTGGCTATCATTCTATAGTTTCATGCAAGCTCATTCCTTGGATGTGAGCCCCCTGGCACAAAATGCAGTGGGCACTGCCTGCCAGATCAGTGGGGCAGTGGAGGGGGGGAGTGTGGGGGCTGCATCTGAGGCTGTTCATCCTATGTTCACGTTCCTTTTAGAAACACCTGCCACCACAGCCCTCCCAGCTCTCTTTTTAGACCCTGATTCACTGCCAACTCACGAAGCTCTCCTCCCCTCCCTCCTCTCCTCTCCCTCATCTCTCTTTTAGGCACTGACAGCTGGGTACAGAAGTAGACCCCACACCCAGGAAGTAGTGGACAGAAGTGGAGGGTAGTGATCCAGTGTCACAGAAAACACACTACAGAAGTGCTCCTCTCCAACCTTGGCCCAGCTGGGTTCCTCGGGTCAACGGAAGACTTGGGTGAGACTTCACTGGATCAGACAGTGGAAGACTGGCAATGTGTGACGACAAGAAATGCAATTTGCCCCCCAAGCCTCAACATTCTCTTCTGTAAATTGGCATCATATTAGTTTGAACCATGTGGAATGGCTGTTTTTACAGGTTAAAAAAATAAAAAAATAAACCAGTTGAATACAGTTGGTTTCATATGGCTAACCCGACAGCCTTGCCTGCTTCCAAGGCAGTTCGAGAAACAAGAAGAGATGAGAGGTGCATTTTCAAAAGTCTCAGACTGATACAGGCGCACCGTTATAGTACTACTTCAAGGAGCTAAGTACAGACCCACCTGGAACCGTGAGCTAAGCCAATGACCCAGAACTTAGAAATTTGGAGCTTAGAACTCGAGGAGAAGGCCGCCTGCTCCAGTGGTTAGCAAGGCAGACCTTCCTCCTGGCTGCCTCCGAGTCTGACGCTAAAGGGCCTTGGTCCAAACATTACTGAAATGATACAAGCCCTTAGCACCCCCCTCCCCCCCAAAAAAAAACATGCCCACACACAGGTACACAGCCTTAGGCTCACTCCCAGGAGTGCCCAGCATGGGGAAAAGACACCAGAAGGTGCCTCAGGAGCTCTTGTCTAATCTAAGGAGACCTTGGAGGGAGGGAGCCATCTGACCTCGGAAAAGTATGATCTTCCCATGCTAAGTCCCACCAGGAATGGGGGCGGGGCAAAGCCCAGGTGTGGGTGAACCCTGCTTAGATATATTCCCACACAGTCACACAGTACAACATACCCAGACCCATTCAGAGATAGTCGCACATGCACGTCCATTCATACACACTCAGACACCTACATACACAGCCACACAGTAACAGCACACACACACACTCATCCACACATATGTCGACAGATTCATGGACGGTAACACCCTGCACGCTCACTGCATTACACTCACTCACCCACAGACCCACACGGCGACACCCTCACCACAGACACAAGCACGCTCACACACCTGCAGAGGAAACTTCTCTCTGGATCTCCCCAACACCACGACTTCCCCCCACAGTCAACCTCCCTCCCAGATCCAAGCTTCCATTCCAGCCGGGCAAGGGCTGGGCGGGCGCTGGCCGGCCTCCCGCGGCCCCGGCCGGGACAGCGCGTCTGCGGAGCGCGTGGTCCCCAACCCGTCCCTGGGGTCAGGCACGCCGGCCTCCAGGCCCAGGGTGAGGTCGGG